AATTTGTCCTCAATGAATTGGTCCAAAATATTTACAGCATATTAAAATGAATAGAATTACCTGTTCTGTGGTGGTATCTTTTTAAATCTTATTCATTTCCTAAAAGAATGTCAGTATTCAAAGGGTGTTGGTGAATATCAAGGAAAGCAATGGCTCCACAGAGCTGTGCCTAGGTTAGGGAGTCCCTAAAAAAACTATGTCCTATTCTGGGAACCATATTGGAAGAGGGCCAAAATACATCAGGACATGTCCTGGAGGGAGCAAAAGGACTGGAAAGGGGGTTAAGACCAAGGGCACATGGGGAAAGTTTGGTAAGAATTTTCTTTGGTCTGAATGTATGTGTACTACCCAAATTCTTATGTTGAAACCTAATTCCAATGTCATATTGTCAAGAAGTGGGACCTTTAGGAAGTGAATAGGTCATGAGGGATGCATCCTCATGAATGGAATCAGTGCCTTTCTAAAAGAAACCCAAAAGAGAGAGTTTGCCCTGCCACCATGTGAAAACAAAGCAGTGAGGAAGCAAGTCTTTACCAGACACCAAATCTATCGATGCTTTGATATTAAACTACCCAGACTCCAAAACTGTGAGAGATAAATTTCTGTTGTTTATAAACTACTTAATTTATGGTAATTTGTTATAGCAGCCTGAGTAAACTAAGATAGAACTGAAGCTATTGAGCCTGGAAAAAAAAAGTGACAACTCCAGGGGACATGAGTCAGTTCATGTCACTCTGCCATGTCAGGACAAGAGACAACATTTTAAAATAGTCTACAAGGTCCTTTTTAATTTTCTTAGGTCCAATACTATATGTGTGATCTCATCTCCTGTCACTTCCCCCCTCACTTACTCTATTTCAATAGCACTGGGCTCCTGGTTATTCCTAGAATACATTATCTGCTCTCACCTCAGAGATTTAGTTCCTCTCTGGAATATGACTTGTTCAACAAGTCCTTTCAGACCATTTCATTTTAAATTTCACCTATCACCATTTGACATACTGTGTTTTTTGTTTAGTGCCTGTCATCCCCACCTCCCCCCCCACCAAAAAAAAAAAACTTAAGGTCTTTGAGAAGGGCTTTATCTTTCATGTTCATTGTTGCACCTATAACAGTGCCAGGCACATCATCCGGTGGTCGATAGTATTTGTTGACCCAAAGAACACTATTTTTGCCTTTAGATCTGGAAGTGTTATAGGGCATAGGGACCAGGAACCAATCTTAATCCAAGGGACTAAGTCATTTCTAGCTCAAAATAAAAATTGACATCTTACATTTTAAGCTTCTCCAGGAGTCTATGCCAGTGGATGTGAGTAGGCACAGGAAAGATGTTGTAAGAGAGATTCAGACAATAAAAGAGGCAGGGTAAAGAAAGAAATTATATCTTCTCCAATACCCTCATTTATATTTAAGGAAAATGAAGTTCTGAGGAATCACTCAAGTTCCCAGGAGTTATGGACATTTAGAGACTAAAATTTTGGGCTCCTAAATTCTAGGCTAGTGTAATCACTTTTTCCCAATGAGGCAATCTTTTATGTAGCAGGATAATTTCTGGGAATATTCATGTTTGTTTGTTTCTGTTGTTTCTCTGTGTCTCTACTTCTCATTCCCATGGAGGTAACCACGCCCTTGAAGGATCCCGTGCAAGAGAGATTTTGCAGTGATGAAAGAAGCAGCATGCTGAAACCACTGAATTCATCTATCTTTTATAAAAGCCTAAAAACCCCACCGAGGACATATTGTCCTAAAGTCAAAGGGGAGAAGGGAAAGGTTTTGGAAAGCCCAGAGAGAAAAGAAGATTCCTACCACTCCCAGCCCCCACTGGGAAGGGAGAGTTTCTGAGTCTGGGGATGTAGGAACAATTACCAGTGCCTGAAAGAGAAAGAGAGGGCCCTATGGTTCTCAGAGGGAGGCATGAGTGGGTGGAATCCCCCAGTCATGACTGACATGGAATTTCCCACTTTCCTATTAGGATGGGGAGTTTGGAGTCAGGATTCAGTTGCTTTTTGGAAAATAAGCAATGACCATTTCTTCCCCAACTACATCTGAATTTGTGGACAGAAATGGATTTCCAATCCATTTTCAGCCCCCTTAAGGATATAACATCACTTTAATTCACTGCATTTGTGATCCACAGAGCATCCTCTTCCTGTTGGTGATGGGTGCAGCACATGAACCCTTGGGACACTGCACAAGGCACCCCATAGGCTGTGAGGATCACAAAGAAAATGTGCTTCAGCATCAGGAGAGAGGAATTGGGAAAGTAAGAGAGAAATTGAGGGAGCAGAGGAGAGCAGCCTTCAAGAGCCCATCAGACAGCAATTATTCTCCCAGAGAAAGAGACTGTTTCCCACTGTGGCTATTAAGTGATTTACAATTAAGTAACTCTTCATAAGGCAGTGCTCCAATTGATGGTGAAGGTCTGAGTGGCGGGAGGCCCCATTCTCCAGACATCTAAGTGCTCACGTCTATTGACTGATTCTGCTATTCATCATCTTTCCCAAGCTGCTTATTAGCAGTTTGAAGTGGGAGGAGGGTTGGGCCCACCTGGCTGGGTACAATTCCCAGAGCATTAAGCCTGGGGGTAGGAGTGGGGGAGGGGAATCCCACCCTGGGCTCACAAGGGCCTCTGCCCTTGTTATACTGACCCAAGTTTGGAACTAGGAGGCTGGGTTGGGCTCTAGTGGTACAAGGAAGGCAGCCAGAGGTCTCTTTTAGCTTTATGATGCCCTGATCTGGGGCCAACTGCTGGGAGGTGTTACTGGGATTCACCCCTAATATTCTGGTGACCAACAGCTTTACTAAAGAGCAATGGAAAAAGCACAAGATTTGGATTCCAGTGATCCGGCTGTGTGAATTTTGGCAAGATTCTTAACCTCTTTGAGCCTCAGTTTTCTTACCTGAAAATGAGGATAATAACAATGTCAACCTGATAGGGATAAAGTGAGGATTACACAAGAAAATGAAAAGTGTGTAGTGCCTGGCACATATCAATGATATTATGCATTCTGTGTTTGGAGAATTATTAGCAATAAAATTTCTCTTCCAACCTGGCCTGCCCCATACTGACTTGGAAGTCCATATTACCATCTATATGTCATTTGTCTTCTTCATGACTCCATTTTCTCATGTTTATAGTGAATGAAATCACCTACTCTATCTATCTGCTTCTTAGGGCTTCCTAGAAGAGAATGGAGCTGGAAGAGTTTGGCAAACTAGAAAGTACTGCCCTTAAGTCACTTGATTTGACTGATGGCTAGGTTTGCTTCTCAGAAGCCATGCAGCTCAGCTAAAACCTGGAAGTTATCCAGAGAGGGATAAACACAGTTAGTAGGGTCCAGAACGCTCCTTGTGGGTGGAGCTGTGGGAAGCTAGCCACCCACCCATAGCAGTCCCTGAAAGGCTTGCACAAAGCTCCTTATCTGTTGGTTTACATGTGCTCTAAAGGAAAACTGGTAATAAAGGCAGCTTACTCTCTAGGCACAACCCTGGCTCTTAAGCAAGCCATATAACAGCCTGGGGCTAACTGGTTTATTACTGATAAAAAGGAAGATGTTAGAAGGTTCCCTCACCCCCATCACTGCAAAGGGCTCTCCAGGGGGGCTATACTGAAAGTAGCCATCTGTCGGTGCAAAGCAGGGCAAGTTCTTATCACCCATCTTGTCCAATAGGTCCAATGTTCCAGAGTCATGTGGGTACCACAAAAATACTAATAGAACTCCATTTCAGGTCAACTTAGAAACAATATGGCATGAACTGGACTTAGGTAGCTGTAAAAGTTCAATGTGTCACCCTGAGGTAACTTAAGATTCTGACTGGCAAAGGAGAAGAGAGTTGCCCATGGTCTGGTTGATTTAAGGGCAAGTAATAGCTCAGGAACCCAGGCTTCCCTGACTTTACCATCCCCATGAATATCCAACGGATGTAATAAGAGTTGATGTAACTCTCCAAAGGGTCTTGCTCCCAAAGCTCCCATAGCAATACTCACGCCCCTTTCCTCCCTGGGCAGCCCAGGACAAAACAATCATCATCTTTCTCAGTTTTTTTTTGTGAAATATCAACTCCCTTTCCATTAGCTTCTCTTTTGCTAACTTCTTTTTATTTTGCTTTGCTTGACTTGTGAGGTCCCGGCGGCCACCAAGATTCTTTGCTGGTCTATGTGGACCCAAAGATCCCCACCCATTGTCTGTTGCAGTATTGCTCACAGGGCAATCAGGCAGCTGTTATTTAACACCTTCTGGCCAGTTGGGAAATTGCAGTTGAAAACCCAGGGAAGCCCACACAGTATGTGCCTCATAGCCTTGCTTTCCAGGAGTCGAGAATAAGAGTTTAGATCAGAGAACCTAAAACTATGAATCCAATCACTTTCTTCTGGTCAGTGGCCCAGGTAGGTGTTTCTGTGGGTAATAGGATGTGGCAAGTGATTCCTGTTTAGATTAGGACAGGCTGTGAAATCAGAATATGATCCCAAGGTGACAGTTGTTGCTGTGCTAAACTTCTGGTGGGCCATTAGATAACGTCATGCACTAAGGGGCAGAAGCTATACCCCTCTTTGTAGTCCCATAGCCCAAATGCAGGCAGCTACCTGGCTAGCATCTCTGCCCATAGGCCCAGGTGAAGGATGCCCTTCTGGTAGCTTGGCCTGACTATCCATCCCTCCATTTGACACATCATTTTCATTGACCAACTAGCAGGAGGTGGCCATCTCTTAGCTGGTAAGGAGGCAGAAGAAACAGGCCAACTTGAGATGGCTAACTAGCCCATGACAATGCACAGGAACTTCAGGGGGCAGGTCTCTAGGTGTGATGGAGAGTTTGCTGCCATAAAATCTGTCTGGGATGCAGGGTATGGCTTGAATGAAGAACTTGTTTCCTCTCCTCTGGCTTGTTTTCCACTTCTGAGTGCCCACACCCTTCTTGGTTTCTCAATTTCCCTTCAAAGGCAAACCCACCAACCACAGATCACAGGCGTGCTACTGTGGAACAAACCACAAGATTGCATTTCAGTGACTGGGGGTCCCTCCTGAACCCAGAATTTTATTAGCATTCAGCAAAAGAAATATATGTCGTAACATACAGGCAGTGCTTCAAGATATCCAGATGTCAAGGAGAGCTAGGAGTGGTCACAGCTCAGGTTATTCTGTGATGCCTCAGAGATGGGGAAGGAGCCATTCAGGCACACACTTCCCATTATGTACTGGGAGAGAAAGAACTCTTATACCTGGGGTGAGGACATACTGCAGTTCCTAATTTCTTCCCTCCTTCCCCCAGTCATTTTATTTAACATGACCTAAATATACATTCCTGTATTCTGACCCCCCACCCACCCCCGTATACAGCAGGGAAAGTAAGCACCAATAGTAACAAGAATAATAATTAAAGACCCGCCTATTAATAGACCCAACCCTCACACATATACATGCCATGTGGATTTTCTACTTTAGTGACTCTAGGATGGAAAAGTGGGGGATCAGGCCAGCAAGCCATCACCCTGACAGTCACTGGTCCTCAAAGTACCATCCACATGTGAGTTGGAGCAGGGTGGGGGAGGGGAATGGTAGGAGGAGAGATTCCCCCAAAGCAGCAAGAAGGGTAAAGAAGTTCCCCAGAGTCTCTTTTGGGCAAATGTCACAATCTACTGAGCTTCTAGAAAGTCCCATGCAAGGGTTTCCTCAACGAGATGATTAATTCCTGATGGTGTCACATCATTGCCATTTGTCTCCCCCAGTTTCTTGAGGAAAGAAGGTTTGGTTTAAACTCCTTGTCTTCCCTACTGGATGGAGAATGTTCCCAAAATGCTCCTTTGGAGAAACTCGATATGACAAATAGCACAACATGGGCACTCTGGTTTCAAAACAGAAGCACAAAACATAAGTAGGGGAAAAAAAAGTAAAAACAAGAGACATGAGTACTCTCAGGTCTACATATGGGGGAGAAAGGGTCAAAAAGAAAAACATAGAGCCAGAAAACAACACACTGTCTACCAGGTTCCACACACCTGATTCACCTGGCATTTTTCTTAGATACCTGGACATCTTTCATTGTCCTTATCATGAGGGGAGGGAACGAACAGTGTGATACAGCAAGGGTGGGGAAAAAGGAGAGAGGGAGGGCCATAGGCAGTTGAGATGCCAGCCCTCTGCACAAGCAGCAGCGATTTTTGTGTCATCTTTGTTTTGTTTAAAACTGTAAACAGCACCGCTTAAAAATAAAATATATCAGAAAAGAACAATTGATAAACATTGTTTTCCATGAATATAAAATGCAAACAATACAAAAATAGATAATTGACTTTTGATATATATATATTAAAAACAATTGGATGCAACATACATATGGGTAAATTTAAAGTCTCCCAGCTAACCTCCCCACGCCTCCCTCTAGCAACTGGGCCTGGGGGCCGAGGGCAGGTGGGGTGGTGGCACAGGTGGAAAAGCCATTGGCAGTAGGATGAGAGCACACAACCAGCCTTCTGAGTGTGGAAAGCTACTTCCCTCCTTGATACAGCACTGAGGGAGTGAGAAAGACTGGTGTTTACTGAAGCCTTTATCCTGGGAGGCTTGTGGCATTGGTACCTAAGTTAAAGCCAGATGGGCAGGGCTGGCTCTAACTAGGCACCAAGGCAGTACTTCCTTGGAGACTCTAAAGCACCAAGAAATTGGTATCCTGGCCCTGGGAGAGGCCTGCTAGATGGCCTTCCCTATCCACATTCATTGATCCCCCAGGGACCAGTTTCATTTGGGATTCTCAGGATCAGAACTATCTGACAGTAGACAGGCCTACTGGGTAGCAAGATGAGGGTGGCTACCCCTTCTCTAGTCACATCTTCCTTTGAAGTCACATCCTAAAGTATTATCCCAGGATCCTGCAATGGAGAAATGGTGTTCATCTGGTCATAGCATAGGAGGTGTGGACATGATATCTGGTGCATATTTGGTGCGAGCCAAGCAAGCACTAGCCTGTGTTTGGGGAGAGGCCAAGAACTTGGTTGGTTTTCCCATTGTCAACCTGAGCTGCCATCACCCAAAACCCTAGCGAAGTCCTCCTTCCTCCTCAAGGTTGCACCTTACACTTAGCCATGAACTCCTCAGCTCCATCAACTCAAAGGGGCCTGCTTCTGCAGCCATGTATCCTGACTGCCCCACTTTTGGTGGTGAGGATTTTGTCCCAGGGCTAGCCGGGGCAGTGAAGGGACTTGCAGGCACACAACACCGTCTTAAACCATGAATTCCTTACTCAGCTCCAGGTACTATTCTGTGGTGCATGACCTTCTAAAGCCCAGCAAAGTGTGTCAGGGCTATGGCAATTCCCCTTAAAGGTAGCACATCCTGCTGCACTCCCAAACCTGAGGGCAGCTCTCAGCCCTTGGCCAAAGGCTGGCCACATCCTTTTCCTCTCCCCAGATTAGGCTGGTGGCTCTTTTCCAGCGTGCTATGGACGCTGATGATAGCTCTACTGCCTGCTGCGGCTGGCACAGTCCATATGCAGACAGGAGCTCAAGCTGCCCTGAAGGATGAGGCAAGAGGTGGGTTTTCTCCTGTCGTAAAGGCATTTGGTGAGTGTTAACTTCCTGCCAAACAGCCAGGCCAATTTCATCCTTACCCTTTCAGAGCAGCTTTGCTAAGAGGCCTGATGGTGAAAATCTGGGCACTTCTTTCTTAGAATGCTGTGCTTGGGGTGAGGGTCTTCCTCACCCTCTTTCATTCTCCAGCTCCATGGCAGATACACTTCTTCATAATGTAGCCAAAATTAGAGTGGAGAGCTGGTCTGGGTCTCTTGAGAGGTGGTGTTGGTGCCATGCAAACACTTGTGGTACTTCCAGGTGTAGCTTTTAGCAGCAGGTATGCCTGTTTTGGGAGGGACATGGGGCCAACCCCAATCAGAAATGGTCGCAAAGACCAGCCTGGATACAACCCCTGACTAAGGAACAATTTGCCCACAAAGTCACCTTGACTCAGGGGGTCAACAGCATTTGTTCCCAAGCTAAATTGCCATATCTTAAGAATGGCTCAAGCCCTGTTGACTTCTCTTTCCAGGCATGAAGATGGCTGGGGGATGTGGTGGGGTGAGGGGCAGAAGAGGTAAGAATCATAATTTGGGTCACCATATCCAGGCAAAAACATACTCCATATGCCATTTCCAATAAAGAATTTTAGAGAACCCCTCTTATAGCTGATTAAGAGAGATTGAGCCTCACAAGATAAGCCTATTGCAATCCCTTCTTAACAGAAGTTCTTCGCCAGCAGTATTTCCAACCTAGTTTAATATAAAAATTGCATGGGCGCAGGAAATGGGAGGATGCCGCTCATTTCATAAAGGGCTGCAAATGCCAGGCAAATCAGAGTCCTGCAGCTTGCAGAGTGAGGGCATGTCAGTCTTTCCTCTCAAGAAGCCTGCTCCTTTGATGATGCTAAGGACTTGGCTAATTTGAAGATGAAAGCTCTTCAGAGCCTGGAACAGCAGCTGAGATGCCTTTGGTATCCTGTCTTGGGAGTGCAAGCCTGGGGCCTCTTTACAGCATCCAAACAAAGGGGTAGGCAAGGCTTAAAGAACGTTTTGGTTTGGGGAGAAAAGTGGGAAGTAGTTTTCCCTGCTAAAAAAGCATAGTTGCTTCAAGCTCCACAGTCTGAAGTTTAATTCCTTGCTGGCTAGGACAAATGGATTTCTTTTTCTCTCTCTCTCTCTCTCTCTCTCTTTCTCCTGCATCCCACAAAACCCCAAGCCCTACAGCCAAGCCTAATATAGGTTGCTTCTCTTCCCTTATCTCAATTAAAAGACCATGTTCCTTGCAATGAGATTACAAAAACTTCCTTTAGAAGATAAAATGAAAATTCAAAAGTGTCTGCAACTCAAGCAGTCACAGGCTCAAGAGAAGAAAAAAAAACTGCTATTATTCCAGAGCTCAAGACTCTATGGCAGTGTCCATGAAAGAACTTTGCTTTGTCCTCTGCTCACATGTGGGAAAATTAGTCAGTCCCTTACAGGTTTTAGTGTTTTTCTTCAAATTATGGCAGGCCAAGTTAAAAGGCCACCATCTGATCATGATGCCAAAGTCCACAGCAATATGCAGTGAGACACATGCTACTTGATCCTCTCTAAGGACAGCTAGCTGGGACAAATAGCTTATAGTCATTTGATGTAATGGTGGCAGCTATGCCAAGGCTGAAAGGAAATGGGGTAGGGAGGATCTGTACCATAACTTCACATTGCTATCAGCAAACAAGCCCTCCCCAATCCCTGTCTCTGCATGAGAAGCAGTACAGACTTGGCTACTCATCAGTGGCTCATTAATTACTAAGGGGAGAGAATAGGGGGATGCTAAGGGTATAGCCTGCATTGAGGATGCATCATTTATATATATATATATATATATATATATATATATATATATATATATGATCACAAACTTGGCAACTGGAATAGGCACAAAATTATAGCATCCCAAAATCTGTGTGGGTCACAAGAAGGAACCCCAAAAGCAGAAACTGGAGCGCAGAAGCAGCAGCCTCCCTGGGCAGATGTACTTCAGCTGAATGTGGCCATAGATGGCAGAGAAGGAAGGGGGGAAAAAAGGTGAAACTCAGGGAGTTTTCCTTGGCCAAAAGGATTTTCAAGTTAAACAGCAACCCCCACCCCCACCCTTCTGCCCAACCCCTGATCCCCATTCACATGCTCAGGCCCCATGCCCCTACTCCAGAAATGATGATGACTACTTGGCTAAATTTCCATTCACGGCAGTGGATGAACAGCTGGTGGGTAAAGAGGCACCTTGCTTGGACCTCTCCTTTGACAGATCAAGGCTAGAAGCTCCGTAGAGACTGGGCTGAGGCTGGGAGGGCTCAGGTCGAGCCCTAGGAAGCTGAGGAATGCCATGGGTGATGCCCACAGGCTTGGTCTGGGGCAGAGAGCTGGGAATGAAACCTCCAGAATTGGAGGAGCAACTGGGCTCATTAGCAGGCAGCAGCACATCTCGAGGCCTGGCCCTCACACTGTGGGAGTTTTGTGGCTGGAGATTATAGCAAGGGCCCATGGGCAGAGGTAAGTGTGAAGGCCGAGCTAGCTGAGGCCCAGGTTCCCCGGGTGCTCTTGGCTCTGGCTCTGGCCCTAGCCCTGATGACATTGAAATGGCCACAGGAGGTACACAACAGGTTGCCTGCCCATATGGAGACTGGCTGGAAGACCCATCCAACTGGCTGGGGCTCATCCAGGCAGGGCCTGGTCCCACTGGTAGAGGACAGGGAGCCCAGGCAGGCCAGTCATAGGCCCCTGGGGGTTCAGTATAGAGGGACAGGGGACTGTCTCTGCCCCATTCTCCTTCTTCGTCCTCTTCATCTTCATCTGAATCTTCCTGCTGGGCCTGAAGCTCATCAGATTCCAGGTAGCCCTGGGCCAAATGAGAATTGGAGAGCTCTAGTTCCAAGGTCTCTGCAGTGTCAAGGGAGCGGCTCCTCCTGTTGAGTGCTATGGCAGCAGGTGGAGGGCGAGGGTGCATCCCAGGTAGTCCCAAATATCGAGGGAGGCTGCTTACACCCCAGGGCAGACCTTGGTAGAATCTACTTCGGTAGTTGTTGAAGGCATGCTTGTGGTAGTAGCCCAGTTCAAAAGCTTCCAAGGAGGCTGCAAGGTCTTCATCATTGTGGAACTCAGGATTCTCTTCACACTTGCCTTCCCCTTCTCGTTCTACATCAGCGATGTCAAAGGTCACCATGGGGGGCAGCTCAGGGAGGTTTTGAGTGAAGGACGAGTCAGAGTCAGAGCTGCAGGACATACTGGAGAAAAGGTTTCCATTGCTGGTGAACTCTACCAGAGCCTGAGAGAAGCTTACAGTGGCATTTCCTTCCTTCTCAACCTCTTCTTCCTCTGGCTCCTCAGGAGGTGAGTAAGTAGGGTAGGCCCTCCTTGGAGATCCTCCAAAATTTGCTTCTTTCATATCTGGTTCAAACATGGCATCACTCTGGAAGAGCTGCATTAGACAAGTACTTTGATCTTTCTTAGAACAGGTTCCCTCAAAACGCTTCTCCAGAGGACGGAAATCCCTCCAGTCTGGCTCACTGCTTGCAGTGGTAGGGAAAGCTGAGGTGGTTCCCCGGTGGGAATTCTGAGAGGTTCCTGATGCCCCTGCTACCAGACCCATCACTGATGGGCCTAAAGGCCTCATCTGATACTCCAAGATGGGCTTCTCCTGCCGAGCCTTGGTCTCTCGCACCTGAGCCTCTCTAACACGTACCTCTCGGGCCTGAGCTTCTCGGGTTCTGGCTTCCCTGACATGAGCTTCCCGACTGTGGGCCTCTTGGACATAGGCCTCCCTGGCATGAGGCTCTCGGGTATAGGATTCCCTGGTATGAGCCTCCCTTGCATGAGCCTCTCGAGCACGTGCCTCTCGGGCCTCAAGCTGCTCCCGACGAAGTTCCCAATACAACAACTGCTTCTGGATGGTCACTAGCCGTTCTTCTTCTGTCTCCATTGCCCCAGGTGGCCGGGGGGAAGAAAAGGGCTCAAAGTTCAAGAAGGGGTCAAATATCTCAGAGCTGCGACCATGGAGGTCATAAAGACAGTCATCTCCAGGTGGGGAGTTTTCAAGACTGTCATCTGGCTCATAGAATTCATATAGTGCATCTCCACTATAGCTGTCTCTGGGGAGGCAATCCCTGCGGATAAGCCCTAGGGTCTCACCCGAATCATCCTCAAATCCAGGAGTGGTGGAGTCATAATAACCTTCATCACTATTGGGGGCAGACTCTTGCTGGTCACTCTGAGGAGTCAAAAGTTCTCCAGGGCCTAGGCCAGGATAAGACCGAGCTGGGTCAAGGAGCACATAGCCCTGGTGGCCTGGAGATGTAGTGGGATGGTAGCTTAGGTTCAGATTAGGCCTTGGGTACATTTGGGCACTTGCCCACAGATATTCTAAGTCATCTTCTTCCTCTTCCTTGACCTCCTCTTCTTCCTCCTCTAATTCCACCTCCTCATCCTCCTCCTCTTCCTCATCATCATCATCTGGCAAGGCCATCTCCTCCCCACCTCCTTGGTAAGTCACCAGGCAGGAACTTCGTTTGGTACCATCTCGGTTGGCCCTCTGGCCCCCAGAGGCCATGCTATCTGTCATACTATCCATGTCCTGTTCTGCTATAATATCACCACAACCTGTCAGTGAGTCAAAGCTTTTCAGGGATGTAACATCTCCAAACAAGAGGCTCAGCTGATCTCCCACAGGGCCATTGGGTGGATTTACTTCTCCTGCCACCATCTTTTCCCCTGTTTCCGGGCTGTGGTGTTCGTCTATGTTACTGGCTTCAGGGTCTGGCTTAGGCTGCAAGAGTACTGAGGCACAGATCCCAGTACTGGGTTTTTCTGGATTTTTACAGGCTGTATTCTCAGTATTTGGTGAAGAAGACTCTGGTGCTAGAGAAATTATTGCCCCAGGGGTATCATGAGGTTTGGCATTATCCTTTCTAAGGTGTTGGGCAGTCTCCTCAGAGAAGGGCAGAGGGGCTGAGCTTACATATTCATGAGACATTGCTCTGGCCCGTTCAGGTTCCTTGGCTCCTGGCTCACTTTGTTCACCCCCAGCAACCTTGCTCTTTCGATGACGGCGGATACTACTAAAAAAGCCTTTTAGGCCTTTCTTTGGCTTGGGCACAGAGGGAACCCTCTCAGCCCCTGTTTTTTCAATGGTTCCAGTCACAGGGGTCTTCTGTCTGGAGCCTGTCTCCAAAGCCCCATGGGCACTCTGGGAGCTGGGAACTCGGCAGGGTGACTCAGGCAAAGGTAAGGAGATGCCAGTTCCTTCGCTGACAATGTCTTCAGGGCCACGGTCTGCTTCACTCAGGCCATCATGGGTCTTGCTCTTGCTTAGACCCTTCTTGGAGCTGCTTTTCCCAAAACCTTTGTTTCGTCCCCCTCCAAAGAAACTAGGCAGAGTACAGATTCCCTTCTTGCCACCAAAAAGTTTCATGGCAGTTTTCTTCAGCCTACCTGGGCCAGATGAGGGTGGCTCTGAGGTTGGCCCTTCTGCTGCTTCAGCTGCCTTGTTCTTGGCTCCTTTCTCTGCTTCCTGTTCCTGGATATCTCCAGAGGATGCTGCTCTCTTGGTCTGAGCAGCTTCATCTTTCCGGGTCTCCATGGTGATGTGGACAATTCAGGTATGTTTAGCTGGAAATGCAGTCTTAGGCTTCCAGGTGCTGTTATAACATCATCAGTCTGGAAGCATCACAGTGGGATCTGGAAGAAATGAGAGACAAAGAGAGAGAGAGAGAGACTGATGAGCAAGCACCCAGGCTGGTTTTGTTTTCACAGGTGTCTATAGTCTCAGGCTTGAGTGGAACCAGAAAGAAAGGGAAAATGTGGGGAAAACGTTAATCCACTCCATATGCTTGGTTCACTGGCCCAGCCCCCTCACAGGCCCCAAGGAAGTGAAACCCTATACTGAGCAACAGGCAATTGTCACCAGGTACCCCCTTATTAGTCCACTCCCTTCAGACCTTAAACTCAGGGAAGCACTGAAGAAGGAGATCTGCAGATGTGTGCAAGGCCCAGAAGTGCTATAGGCTTAGGGAGAATACTGATTTGGCTCTAACAGCACAAATTTTTGGAAACACATCTAGCATAACAGCTCACTGAGTCCTCACTGGGTTTTACTGGATCTAGGCCACAATCTTACATTAGCCTAGGCTCTCACAGACATTTTGCCTGGAGTTAGGAAGAAAAGCAGACCAACAATTTTACCTCCTATCCATTTGCTCTGTAAATTGCCCCAGAACTATGCTCAGACCTTCAGACCCCTGAAAAGGAGCTTCACAGACTGGCAGATCAGGGCTGCAACAAAGGACCTACTAAGATGATGTGATGGGCCCAGGAAAGGCACTCTCTAGGCTACCCCCTCATATACATTATGTGAGGGGTGGTCCTAGGCCAGACACTCTATCAGCTGTCCTGCTGGGAAGAGATTTTATTATTGCCCTCTGACAACTGGAACCCAGATTCCACTTTAGAACCAAGAGGCAGACGTTCTCCTCCTCTCATTATTTTTGACCAACCCTAACTCCCTATCTAGGAAGGGAACTCCTTGAATGCACAGCACTATATGATTCCTGCTCCTGGCCTAGGAGATATACTCTCAACAGCTTTTTAAGCAAATAAACCTGATACAAGCCACCCTTCTGGCCCAGGCTCCAAAACCTCACAAAACCCAAGTACCAATAGAAGGGGCATACAAAGGGCTAGGGATGACACACCCCAACACACCTCACCATCTCCTGACTCCATACTAGGTATGGTGTATTTCAGTGACTGCAGCCATTTGACTGCTGGATCAGTAATCAGTCTGCAAATATGCAATGATCCCCTCCCTGGAAAATCCCTTGCCAGTGAGCCACCAGCAAACAGGGGGATCCAGGGTGAGAGAAGCAGAGGCAGAAACGCTGCTGGGAGTGAGAGAGCAAGAGAAAAACAGACCACTGAAGTCCTGGGAGCAGCTGGCCAGCACACTAGCCCTGTGATTGGTTGCTATAGTAATATGGCACACACTCACCTGCAGTGGTAAATTGTGGACCAGCACTGGAGAAGAGAAGATGGCAACAATACTCTAGCCTCTGGCCTCATTAGAACTCCTAGAATCTTAGGTCCTATCTTCCAAACATTAATTTTGTGCATGGTGCTGCGGTTGGCTTGACACTAGAATCATTAGTTTGAGCCAAGTTTCCATAAAGAGCACTTCACAGAAATTAATATCAAAATTGGAGGAATAAAATGGCTGGTTATCCAGAAAAAGAGGAAAATAAACAAAAAAACAAAACCCATCTGATTCCCTTTCTGAAGAGATCCACATTGCCATTTGCTTAGGTTATTACGGTTTTGTCTATGCAAGATTGCTTGACATCACATTGTTCCAAATGGGTCCTCAACCAACAAATGTTTCCAACCCCCAGACACAAACCATCATATAAACACACACAATCACTTAGAGTTCTCCACTCCAGGGATTAACAGGAATATGGGACCTATCATCAATTTGAATCCCCTATTTTCCATAGCATATATGTCTTTATTTCAGCCCTAAAATTACTGGAGATGGTGGTGGCAGCAAAGAATTTGTTTGTGAAATTGTATTCCCTTCTGTGGACTTAGTGAAACAAATAATTCTTGAGCATTCAGTTAGTGATTGGCACTGAGCCCAGTGCTACAGAACAGATCAAAAAGAGGGACCCCTACCTCTTGCTTTTTGGGATTGCCTAGACCAACAGGGAGAGAATCCTATATGTAAGAATCTGAAGACATAAAATGATGCAGGCCTTAAAGAATGACTTTTGTTACTTTTTTTAAAAACTTTTTGAGACAGGTACAGAACAGTAGAATTTATTCAGAACTTATCTGCAGTTGAAACCATTCCTACAATTTAGGCTTAGAACTAAAAATGAGATTATCTTATCTTGTAAAATCATTTTTTTTCATATTTTATTGGTATAGTTGTGCATATTGATAGAATTTGTTAGACATTTGTACATGCACATAATATAACAATATAATTTTCTCAATATCATTCTCCAGCATTTCCTTTCCCTCCCTTACTCACTCCCCTTTGTCCCTTTCCTCTACTCATCTCCCCGCTATGTACATCCACCCTCCACCCTTCTTTTCCTTTTTCCTCTCCACATATGGAAAAAAAAATCATAGGACCCTTTGTAACAGTGGTGTACTTTATGCTTTGAATATAGCCCTTGCTGCTCTGCCACTGAGGCTTATTTTTAAAATGAACACATTTCTTTTTCTTCCTCTCTCCCTTCCCCTTCCTAATCTCAGGGAAACAGGATTACCTTTCTTCCCCATCCAAGACACACACCCTTGAGCACACACCCACCACAGCAGCAAAGTTACTTCGAGGATGACCAGTAGATCTAAGAAATGGCTCTCTCCCAAATTAACAGGAGAATTACAATTACTGACACAAAATGCATGGAATGTAGCCTTTGAATCACCTCTTCAAAAACCACTTGTTTCCCCTAATGGGCAGAATCACAGCCTCTGGGACAGTAGTCCCATGTTTCTCCTTTCTAGCTAGCAAAGCAATAAAACTTCTTTTTCCTTGTTCTCAAAAAACCATATATTTGTTATCAGATTGGCATCAGGGACAAAGACCAAGCTGTCCGTAACACCCTGACCTTCTGAGTTTGGCTTATTTTGCTTAATATAATGTTCCCAAGTTCCATCAATTTCCTACAAATGACATAATTTCATTTTTCTTTATTAGCCCTTGTTAGTTCTTAAGGTGGGCAGCAGGATTCTCATTTCTATACCTTGTTAATATACCCATAGATAAATATGAAAAGCAGAAAGATACTCCCTGGGCTCAGAAAAGCTGCCTTGAGGAGGAAGCATTCAGTCTTAGCTTTGACAGGCTGGAGGGGAGTGGACATGACAATGAACGAGTGGAAGGTGTCGGTCAGACTAATAAATGTGGTTGGGCCTCAAGGAAGACTCAAGGGCCAAGTGAAAAAATTTATGGGCCTAGATAGCCTTGTGAATCAAAAGCTGACTTGTCCTGCCAGGTTTGAGGCTGGAGTTCCTGGGAACAGAGCAAACTGAATCATAAAGAGGACTGCTTTTCAGAACCTTGATGCTCTAGGTGGAGGACAGTCCCTTTGGGCCTTTGCTGACCTTTGACCTTATTTTCCCATGCTCCCTAGGGGTAGAAGCCAGCTCTCCAAGGTTCCCTCCCCCACCCCCAGTTTGTTTGATTTTGTACCAGAGATAGAACCTAGGGGCACTTAACCATTGAATTACATCCTCAGTCTTTTGTATTTTGAGCCAGAATCTTGCTAAATTACTAAGGCTGGCTTTGAACTTGTGATTATCCTGCTGTACCCTCCTGATTCACTGATACTACAGGCACACACCACCACCCTGGCTTTGCCATGCCCTTTACATTGTTCCCTTCTCTGTCAGAGGCAACTCAGTGTTGTGAAGCAGCCATGCCACAGGGCTAGAGCTCAAACCTCCAAACCATGCCAGTCTCCCATCTGTGAGGGGACTCCAAATAGGCCAAGTTAGCTCACTGAGCATCAGGTATTTGTAAGATCAAAATAACTCCTCTACCTATGTCCTTACCTCCCAGATCCAACTGAAGTAGTGTAAGGATCAGAGGCAATGCTGGGCAACAAAAGACACTTTGTAAACTATAAAGTGTAAATGAGAAATATTAGCATTACTGTTATTCTCATACCCTTCCAAGTCAGAACCTATTTCCTAGTCAGGAGACCATGTATATAAGGTTGTTCAAATGGGAAATCCATTTGCTGAGATGAAGAATCTGCTGCCTTGGATTATGCTGAGGCAGACCTGACTGTAAGGGCATTTTAAATATGAGTGTGGGGTCCTCCATTAACAGCAGTGTTTAAAGCCCGTGTGTGTGTGTGTGTGTGTGTGTGTGTGTGTGTGTGTGTATGTGTGGTGGGGTGCATGAACTAGGGAGGGATGCAGATGTTTCTGGGATGTATATTCTCTGCCCCTAGTTCAGGGCCTCCTCCCAACCAGGCCCAGGTTCATCTTTGTTGGCAAGAACCAGACTTGTAACTGTGCCATCTCTTACCATCTTTCTCTTGCATTGTCCCTTCCAGAGCCACGATACCTTCCATACTACACACACTCTCTCTCTTTGCAGGGTCCCACAGGTCACTGGGAAGGAAGGTAACAGGGGCTAGGCTTGGCTTGGCTTGCCTTGCCTAGCCCTGCCTAACTACCTCTACCCCAGGCTTCTTTGCTAACCCACCAGGTCTCAAAGCTGTCCCTCCTCAATGGGCTATGCTGCCTTGGCTTAGGACCACAAGCATTTACTAGATGTGGCACAGAAAGCAAAAGGAACAGCAAAGGACAGACTATGTAGCTTGCATAGACTGGGGCTGCCTTTCCTCAGTGTTCCTGCCAAGAAAATGTCCCTGCCAAATGCAGGGCCCCTCAACCCGCAGGCTTCTCAATCAGTGTGGCTAAGTTTCAGGTGGACTGGTAAGTAAAGGAAACTCTTCCAAGTACTCTGTGGTTCCTGATAGTCTTCACTTGCTGCAGTTGCTGCTATCATGGCAGGAAATTAGCTATAGTTAAAAATGGTAGGGTCACCTCAGCTCTCAGGGCCAGCCGCAGGTCATTTTGGGACAAGTGAAAGGTCAGCTACTAGGACAGAACTTCTCCCCTCAACTCAAAATATAGGCAGGAGACCAGCCACAAACCTG